AGTGCTGGGCACCACCCCCAGAATTTCTAATTCAGTAAGTCTGCAGCAGGCCTGAATGTCTCACAAACACTCAGGTGAAAATGATGATGCTGGACCAGGGACCAGGGCTCTAATTCTATAGCCATAACTAAACAACAGGTCTCATAATATCACTGCTCTGCTCTAAATCCTTTAAGGGTTCCCTATTAACTATCAAAATAAGTACAAGTCACTCTTTATATGGCCTTCAAAGCCCTTTACCATCTCTTCCTAGATTCCTAATTCCTGCTATATTTTCTGTTACTTTCTCTATGTACCAATCAAATGAGACTACTGGCTCTTTTCAAAATACAACCAATATTATCTCTTGCCTTCATATATTTGCTCATATTGTTTTGTTTGTAATTGAAAAATAAACTTTATTGTGTATATTTGAGGTATATGGCATGATGTTTTATATATATAGTATAATGGTTAACATAGGAGAACAAATTATCATATCTGTCATCCCATTCTTTCCTCTCTGGCAAGAGCAGCTATAATCTACTCAGGAAAAATCCCAAATACAATACATTATTATTAACTATAATCCTCATATTGTGCATTCGATCTTTCAACTTGTTCATCCTACATGTTTTTTATTTTGTACCCTTTAACTGACATCTCCCCATTTCTTCCCCCCACCCTGCCACAACCCTCTAGAAAGACTTTTATTCTGTCTCTGTATATTTGACATTTTATTTAAAAAAAGATTCTACATATAAGAGATATCATGCAATATGATTTTTCTTTCTGCGTCTGGCTTATTTCATTTAGCATAATGTACTCCAGATTCAGCCATGTTGTGGCAAATGGCAGGATCTCTTCCTTTTTTAAGGCCAAATAATATTTCATTACACACACACACACACACACACACACACACACAGTTCCTTTACCCATTCATCCATTGATGGACGTCTAAATTGTTTCCATATCTTGCCTATTGTGAATAATGTTGCAATGAACATGGGAGTGCAGATATATTAAGTGGTGATTTCCTCTCCTTTGAGTATATGCCCAGAAGAGGGATTGCTGGTGATTGATACTGGTAATTGATTATGGTAATTACCATAATCGTATGGTAATTCTGTTTTTAATTTCTTCAGGAACCTCTATAATATTTTTATAATGGCTGAACCAATCTACATTCCCACCACTAGGGTACAAGGGTTTCTTTTACTCCACACCCTCAGCAACCCTTGTTATCTCTTATCTTTTTGATAATAGCTATACTAACAGGTGGGGAGTGGTATCTCATAGTGATTTTGGTTTGCATTTTCCTGATAATTAGTGATGTTAAGTACTATTTACTCATATTGTTATCCTGGCTGGTGCTCATGTGTTCCCCTGTCAAAATTCTATCTATTCTTCAAGGTTTATCTCACATACCTCCCTCAATGATATTTCCTTTTTCTCACTCCCCAACTGCCAATATATACTCACACTCAATCACTCACTCACTCATTAACTCACTCACTCATTTATTCAGCATCACAATTTTCTCATCTGCCAACAGGGTCTCCCCAAAATCTACTATCACAGGCTGCCCAAAACGATATGCCTCATATATGTGAAAGCCTTCATGCTTAACCACTTCCACAATTTATCCAACTAAATTTTAAATGTCTTGAATAGAAGGAATGTATTGTATTATTACTACCTTATGTCCTTGCTATTCAAAGTGTGATCCAAGGCCAAACAGCATTGATATCACCTGGGTGCTCAATAATGATATAAAAATCTCAGGTCCCACCTGAGAACTTTTGAATTAGAATCTACATTTAAAGGATGTGCAGGTGATTTGTATGAACATTAAATCTTGAGAAGCAGTCTGTAGTACCTAGAACAATGCTTGGCAAATAGTAAGTATACTTATGTGCCGCAGAATGACATTTTGGACAATAATGGACAATATATATGAAAGTGGCCCTATAAAATTATAATACTGTATTTTACTGTATCTTTTCTATGTTTGAATATGATTAAATAGTTATTATACTGTTACAGTTGCCTACAGTATTCAGGACGGTACCTGCTGTACAGCTTTGTAGCCTGGGAAGAATAGGCTATACCATGTAGCCTAAGTGTATCGTAGGCTACACCATCTAGGTTTGCATAAATGCACTCTAGGATGTTTGCACAATAGTGAAATCACTTAAAGATACATTTTTCAGAACGTGGCCTATCAAGTGATACATGATCATACGTGACGAATATATGTTGACCTGAATCATTTAGAATAGGAAATACAGCAGAATAGATCTATATTTTTTTCTGACCTTCCTCAGGGATACAGCTCATCAAATTGCATCTTGTATCATTTTGCAGGAAACAATAGGATTCACTGAGTCAAGATTGAATCAAAAAACAAGAGTAGGTACACAGAGATGATATCAGAAGGTAGGAACACTTCTGTGGAAGAATTTGTAATCTAACTCAGCAGACTAGACAGACTCACTGAGAAGATAATCTCAGTTTGGAGTGACTAGATAACAACCTTGTTGCAGAACATTTCTGCTGAAATGCAAAGTCCCCAGCACCTGTGGGGTGGCAGCATAGTGAGGACTGCTCAGTTCCCAAGAATTTCTCTCTCTCCTTATGGAGTTTTGGGTTCCTTTACTCTTGAAAATTTTTGACTTTTTAGTTTAAATCCTAGGAGGGAAAGATTGGTCAGGAGGAGTATTGCCTAGTGCTGTTGGTCACTTCAATGTAAGCGACCATCTTGAATTAGTGCACAGGTCAGTGAATCATGATTATCTGGCAGACATTTTACTATCCCATACTTGATGGTATATTTTGTGTATATAGTCCATTCCCACTTTCACTGACAGGAATTAAATGATCATTTATCAATCATAATTTTAAAAATATTTATATCACACTTCATTCTGCAGAGGCTTTAAGGCCATTTACAACATTTATACATACGTGAATCAGATATGGGGGAAATGTAAGTCAAAATTTTAAAATATTAGGATTATACAAAGAACAATACTTGTGTCTAGACAAAAAAAGATCAACAGAATTGTCATAGTTGAATTTCAAATTTGCTTCTGAGTTCCCTGGAAGCTAAAGTGAAAAAGGGAGGCATCAGTTCTACTAGTTGTTTTTGCAAATTCAAATAATGAAAAGTGCCTTTTAAAGAGAAAAATAAATAACTACAAAACTTATCTGTTAACCTACTTTTACTATACTGTTATTATGCTATGGGAAAAAAGTGAACACAAACTTCTTATGTCTATGGTCTTAAACAACTATAAAACTGAATATATATATATGTATGTGTGTGTATATATATGTGTGTGTGTGTGTGTGTGTGTGTGTGTATTCTCAAGCCTTTTCAGCTGGAGGCTGAATATATGTGTGTATATATATATATACACACACACACACACACATATATAGCAAAACTACAAAACCAATGACATCCAAAATAGTTACATAAATTTGATGGACAGATGATGATGTGCTGAAACTAAATTTTGAACGTTGGGCCAAGTAGAGAAAAGATGTATTATCATCCTTTATTTTCTGCTTGTTTGTGGACTTGATCTTTTGGTTTTCTGCATGATGGACCATCATTTGGGTAATCATTGTTATCATGGTCGTTATTTTTCTTCTTTAACAAGGAATTCCTTTTTTAACCAACCAGCCATTTTGTGTTAGGCAAGGAAATTTAACAGTGCATTCAAACATCTACAAATGATTTACCAAAAATGGAACTTAAATTAAAGTTATTCATTGCATATTTTTTACAACTCTTACAGTGAATGAATTTAGAGAGTGGATGGAGTACGTATTCTCCAAATATGCTACACTATGGCATAATCTCCAAATATGCTACACTATGGCATAATGCTGAAAAGCCAGGGTTTGAAGTTTCAGAAGCAGGGTTGAATCCTGCCTCTAATATATATGAGCAGTGTAGCTTTGGGGAAATTACTTAACTTTTCTGGTCCTCTGTTTCATCATCCGTAAAATGGAGGTAATGATAATACCCTATTATTAAGACTGTTGAAAATAATGAATGAGATAATGCATGTAACATGCCTGTATCAGTCAAGATTTAACCAGAGACCAGAACCAGCAGGAGATATATACTAAGAGAGTCACTGCAAGGAATTGGTTTGCATAACTGTGGGAGTTGGCTAGACAATTCTGAATAACTAGGGCAGGCTGTTAGGAAGGGCCTGGAACCCTTGGGCATAGGCTGAAGCTGTGGCCCATAGGCAGCAGAATTTCTTCTTCAGGAAAGCCTCAGCTCTGCTCCTAAGGCCTTTCACCTAATTGAATCAGGTCCACCTATATTATCTAGGATAATCTCCTTTACTTAAAGTTAACTGATTATGGACTTCAGTCACATCTGCAATACATCTTCATGGAATGCATGGGTTCGTGCTTGACTGATAATTGGGGACTGTAACCTAGCCAAGTCAACACACAAAACTATCACAGTGCCCAACATGGAGAATGACTTATAGTGACTACTCAGTAGATGGTAGACAGCGAGACTGTTGGAATGGTACATGACCATGGGTAAGACATATAAGTGTCATGAGAAGTAGCCTGGGGTAAAACATGAGATTCGGAGTTGGAGAGACCCAAATTCAAATCCTATTATAGCAATTTACTAGCTGCATACATTCGGGCAAATGACATTTCCTCTCAATGCCCTTGTTTCCTCATCTGTAAATAAATGTGAGATAGTACTCCTGACAGCTACGCTGTGAGGTAAGTGTTACATGAGATTAGATAAATGCCTGGAATGTGTAATAATTCAACAATGGTAGAAATTCCACTTTCCCATTTGTTTTCTTCTTAACCTCTCTGGTCATCTGCCTTCTCATCTATAGCATGAGAAAAAAATATAATACCTACTAATAGTTTTGTAAGGATTGAATGAAATAATGCATTAGATCTTTAAATGTATAGTAAGTACTCAATAAATGTTAGCCATAAATATTCATATTATTATTGTCTTTTTTTAGCATAAATAAAGATTTTATTGGTCAGTTTGGGTGAGTGACAAACTGACATGCCCCCAATTCACTATTCCACATATCCAAGCCCCTGAGTGGGCGAGAGGAGAAGCTAAGCTTATTGATGGTGGGCAATGGGTGAGAGGTGGAAAGGACTTGAAGGCCTCTGGGGGTTAACAAGGCTACCAGGACCGGAACCAACGTCCTAGGAATAAGTCCAGGATGGAGAAGGCATCATCCAGGGCTGGAGGTCTTGGTGATTCTGAATCATCCCTAGGACTGCTGTCTGCTTCGTGTTGGGTTACTGTGGTCTCTGTCTGGCCCTCACTGTCCACCACAGTCCAGCGCTCCTCCACTATCCCATCTGGCTTAGTGATCTTGGTCACAGAGATGCTCTTGAAATAGGATCTGGGCTGGGGCTGTAGAACCGGGCCAAAACCCTCCTGGGAAACCTGGGAATCAAGATCATTGTCCTCTCTGGTTCTAGGATGGGGGTCCACAGGCCATACATCATCAAACCTATGAAATGGTCTCTGGGAGGCCCAGTCTGGTGCTGTTTTGAGGGATTCACTTCTTGCATCACTCTCCAAGACCCCCTCAAAGGTCCTGGGCTGGTGACTATCTAAATACTTAAGAATCGAGTCTCGAAGTATCTGTCCCTCCTGCAGTCTGTCACCAGGTGTCTCTGACTCAGGACCTGGAAGTTCAGGAGGATGGGAAGGCAAGGTCCAGGCCTCCGTATTGCTGAAGATGCTATTGAAATCTCCTACTAGGGAATCAAAGCCGAAGTTATCGTGGAAACGTATCCCTCCTCCTGGGCTGAACTGAAGCCAAAACCAAATTCCTTGGGGTGGAAGGGCGGGGGGAGGGGTGCTGAGGACTATGGAACCTTGGGTTCCCAGGGCCCCATGAGCCCCCTTCTTCCTCTTCTTCCTCATCATCATCTTCATCTTGAGTCATCCCTCCAAAAAAGGGATCTCTGTGACTCCGAGATCCAGGAAAGCCGAAAAAGCCCCGGAAGAGATCAAAGAGGCTCATTCCCGTATTAGGACTCGAATCTTTGAACCCCTCGAGTGGTTCATTCGCAGAACGGGGAAACCTGCGCAGCCCTGTGGGAAATTGAGCAAGGCGTCAGCCCATATTACTGTTCTCTAACCGTCACTTCTTGCAGTTGGGCTTCCAATACGCACAGAATAGCAGATAGCTTGAGATTGTCCACTCAGAGGAAGCCTGGAACCAAGGATTTCTATGTTGCTAGTTGAGGGCAGACTCATATGCTTTAGGGATCTAATGAAAAGCTTGTTTTCTTATGTGAAATTGGGGACCTGCCTTCAAAATTGTAGATATTTTACCTCCTTGTATAGTATATACAAGCAGAGACAAATTTTTCCCTTAGGAAGTAGTTAGGAAGTTTCCCTTAGGAAGTACTTCAAGTGAATAAGTTTTTAGGATCAAGTCATGGAAGCTGTATCTCATGAGGCTCTTCCCAAACTAGAGCACAATTTCCTATTAAAATGAGACCAATATTTTGCAGATTAACCATGCACACCAAACCTGAAACCTCCTCTCCCCTATCCCTTATTTAAAACCTATTCCCAACTCTTGTAGACTCCACCTACAATATATTCTGAATCCAACAATTTCTCAGCCCTGCTGCTACCAGTGTAAGCCAAATCCCCATTGCCTCTGACCTAGCTGCTCTCTGCCCTCCACTGTAGCCTCATTCTAACCCATTATTTACAAATCAGCCAGAGGATCCTCTAGAAATGTAAGCCTGATCATGTTATTCCCCCCTTCCTGCTCAACAGCCTCTGCAGATTCCTTACTGCACTTAGGATAAGGGCTAATGTCCTTTATGACACACAAGACCCTTCATGGGCTGGTCTCCACCAACCTATAGTGAACATTGTTGGTTTGCAGCAGCTCAGTATTCATTCTTTCTTCCTAACTACATTCCACTTTTCTTTTAGGAAATAACTTCTTTCCCATTGGATATAGTCTGGGGATGCCATCAGACAGGCACTCTGTCCTCCCTTAGGTGGGGGCAAGCTCATATTGAAAACAAGACCATTAGTATGCTCCAGGAACTGGAGCAGAGGGACAAAGAGGCAGAAATTGGTTAATGTTGATTCATCCAAGTGGGTAGCACCCAGACCTGACCATTTGTATGCTAATACACTTCCTGGACTTCCTACTCCCTAGCCCTTCAAAGTTTTCTAAATCCTGTTCATTTGAAAGCTTTTCCATCAATCCTTTAAGCTCCCAGTATCCTTCCCCAAACTGTTTCTCCTCTGTCATTTGTGTCACTTTTCTGCTTTCTCACTCTGATCCAGTTATATTGCTTGTATTAGTCTGTTATGCTACTATGAAGAATACCGAGACTGGGTAATTTATAAAGAAAAGAGGTTTAATTGACTCACAGTTCTGCATGGCTGAGGAGGCCTCAGGAAACTTACAATCATGGCAAAAGGGGAAAAGGTACATCTTCCATGGCGGCAGGCAAGAGAAAGCATGTGTGAACGCAGGAAAAACTACCATCTATAAAACTGTCAGATCTTGTGAGAATTCATTCACTATCGTGAGAACAGCACAGGGGAAGCTGTCCCCATAATCCAATCACTTCCCTCCCTCCATATGTGGGGATTACAATTCAAGATGAGATCTGGGTGGGGACACAGAGCCAAACCATATCAATATGCTATATTACCTTTGCTCAGAATCTTCTTTCCCCACCTACTTTAGTCAAGTACTCAGTCTCAAGATCACGGCTCAAAGTTATTTCCTTATGATGCCTTCCCTAATTTCCCTCATTAGTTCAAATCCTTCTATTGGAGGTCTTGTGGAACTCTGCTTTTCCTCTAAGTAGCTCTTAATGCAGCTGTTATTTTACTGAGTTGTGTGAAACTTTGTTTCTCTTGCTCCTAGAATGCTAACTCCAAGAAGGCAGACATTGTATTCATTTTGTTTACTGATGCACCCTTGGTAGTGGCGCAGTGCCTACCATATACAAGGCTCCCAGTAAATATTTATTAAATAGATGAAAGCAAAATTTGTGTGGAAACTTAAGCCAAAATATGATACTTCTAAAACAATTCATGCGTGTTGGCAGTATAGCCATAGGAACACAGAGTCAGGCTTTTCTATAGCCAGGGGTACCTTAGTGGAAAAAGTTAAGACATACTGAAATAGTTGTGACTCACCTCAACAAGATAAATGCTTGGAGATCATGCCTGCAGAAGTCATATTTCTTCATTCATTCATTTACTCATTCCTTTATTTATCTACTCATCCATGTGGTCAACAAAAGTGTATTTAGAACTCAATTACTGGGGCTCCAAAGATGAATAATGAGATCAGATAAGCTTTGAGTATTAAATATATGTTTTTGTTATAAATATAACCAGTTAATATAGAGAAAATATAAGTTAACTAGTTATTTGATGTAGAAATGGATATGCAAATAACTGATATTTTTTCCTAAGATAATTGCCCTCATACAGTCATCAAAATAATGTTCATTGGGTTACTGTTTTCATTTTCACTTTTAAGATGACCTTCATAATTATTTTCCCAATGCCATGGCTCCTTATCTCTGTATTAGCAGAGATATTTCCAGCTTTCCTTGCCTGATATCCCCAAGTGTCTCCAATTAGATTGTGTCACATTGTGATGGTTTTTACCATTTTCATGCTACATAACTAATTTTCATTGGCTGTGTTTCTTAAAAAATACACACACACTACATATTTTAAGAGAGGAGATAAGTAGGGCATCAAATAAAATAACAACAAGATAAAGTTCTGTACTCCAAAAAGATTGGAAATTACTCATGTTATCTTTTAAGAATCAGCTTCCATCTATGCTTTTTCTAGTCTCTCTCTCTCTTTCTCTCTCTCTCCCCCTCCGTCCCTTCTTCCCTCCCTCCCACCTTCTCCGTCTCTTCTAGGGTTTTAAAAAAAATTCCAGCCCAACTCTGTCCATACACAATGAACATGTTACTCTAAATTCAATAATATTTCAGTTTTTAGAAAAGCGTAAGTGATCGCTTCTTTGTTGTTAATCACTTGCCTTACTTAATTCATTCATTATACTCAGAGGCTCTGAGATTAAGTCTCCAGGCTGGAGAGCTTCATATGAATCCTTTCTTTTTTATCTATTCCAACTTAGATTAAGTCTAGGTCCTGTTTAATGAGGTGCCACTGCTGGGTTTTCACGCAGAAAGAATTCCTCATCCTCGGTGGTATGTATATACCAAATAAATTATCTTTTATTTCTTGAATCTCCGACTATTGCTTCTTGTATGAAAGACTATGATTATGAGCTCCCTGGGATCTGGGCAGCTGGGTTTCTTTGATATGGATTTTTTTCCTTTTCATCAAAGCCTTATCTTGTTTTTTTTTTATTATTATTATATTTACGGTGTGTGAGATTATGAAGAGTTTTCTAGACAGCACCAAGTGCCATGCCATAATGAACTGAGTCAAGTTATTGGGTTAGGACTCCCCATGCTCCAGTCAATTTATATTCCTTGGTATAATCTGTTTATAAATGAGCAAAACTACTTTATGTTTCTGCCACAAATTTTATTGTGTGTGTGTGTTCACATGTGTGTTTTGGTGGGAGGAATTGCTAGTTTTTATTTTTCATGCATGGTTGTGCACACAAATTCAGTAATTTAATTTCCCCTTAAATACTGCCTTTTCCCAAACATCCAGTTTCCAGATTAAAAAATACATATGTAGGAGTGTTTGCAGTGTGCACTACATTCCTTGAAGACTAGTCTCACAAGGCTGTCTCATCACAACTAAGAGTTGTCATCCTGGCACTGCTGAAGTGTTCACTGCTGCTGCTGAGATAATGGTACTACTTCCCATGGGCCTGCTTGGATAGACTGGGACTCAGCAGCCCCATAGTAAGGTTAGGAAATAGTCATGGAGGCAAAGAAGACAAAAAAAAAAAAAAAAAAAAAAAAAAAAAATAGAACAAAAGGGTGGGTGGTGGAGGTAGAAGGGAGGAGAAGAAGTTCCCATGGAAGGCAATAAGACATCAGTACTGTCAGCACATTACCCCCAGTGGCACCATTCCTATCCCACTGTAGACAATCTGGAGCCACAAGTCTGCTTTTTGGGACAAATTAATGTGTTTGGTAAGAACCCACTGGTAATGAGGCCAGTGTCTTGGGTGATGTTATCATACGGTCCACTTGGCTTTGTATAGAGGAAAAATAGTTTCCACACCCTCTTACTGCTGCTAATTACCAACAAAGAAAACCAAGACAGAGAGTAAATGGCAGAGTACAGATTTCTACCAATAACCACAAATCAAATGCTGCAGCAGGTTATATATAATTACAGCCTATCCTTACAAAATCAATTATAAAAGAACAGGTGGATTTTACCAAGCTTAATATTCTGCTAATTTAGAGCTCTGTAGCAACAGCATGCCAGAGCAGTGAGTCTTAAACCTTTTCATGCCATGCAGCAACAAGAATGCCTGTCCAAACTCCTTGAGTAACCACATGAGTCTGTTCATGATTAGAAGTTACAGATCCGGGGGCTCCAGCTGTCCCAGATCTCACCCAACCAATATGAGAACTGAAGGAATGAATATAGGGCCACCACTGTATCCCACTAGTTAGATGATCTCTTTTCTAGAAATTTTCAGCAAAATGGGATTCTACCACTTCATTTTAAAATCAACTTTGATGGAATTACTGTAATGAGCACATTTATCGATTTAAACTCTTGGATATGTATGCACGTGTGTGTGTGTGTGTGTGTGTGTGTGTATTTCTGTGAAAGCATTTCTAATTTTTTGTTGTTAAATAATTTCTCTCTCAACTTTATACGTCCAAGACTGAGTCATAAGGCTTATTGCCCCAAGGGAGGAGAAGACAAAACCTGCCCCAAACAAAGAGGTTATTGATCAGCTGTAAGTCTTAAAAATTGACTGTTTTGAGATCATAGAAAGACCATTGTCTTGAAAAACCAACTCTGTTGACAGATAAAATTATTTGCTAATTTTTTTTTCTAGTTCTTATTTAACATATGACAGACTGGGCATAGCTGCCTAGATCATGGAGGTTTACTATATTCTTAAAATAGAGAAAACACAGGAAGTGAGAAAAAAAAGT